GCGGGTGCGAGGGGCGGCTGCGGGGCAGTTCACTGGCAGCAGAGCTGTAGGTGTGCAAAAAGCTCCTGCCTCTTACCTGCTTTTTTTCACATGCTCTTCTAGGAAAATCGTGGCTGAGTATGAGAAGACCATTGCCCAGATGATAGGTACGGTGCCGTCGCCTGGCCGGGTGTGCAGGGAGGGAGCTGGCTGCCACAGCCACCCCCGCTCAGTCACCGTGTCCCTGCTGCTTCATCTCCATCACAGAGGACGAGCAGAGGACAAACATGACATCTCAGAAGAACCTGCAGCAGCTCACAATGGAAAAGGACCAGGCTCTGGCAGACCTAAACTCAGTGGAGAGGTCCCTGTCGGATCTCTTCAGGAGATACGAAAACCTGAAGGGCGTCCTGGAAGGCTTTAAGAAGGTCCTTGCCTTGGTTTCCTGTCTCCCTGCAGCCCTGGTCCCTGGGTGCAGAGCTCCCGTGCAGCGTTGCCCCGGCCTTGGCCCGTGCAGCAGCACCGTGGCTCTCCCGTCCCACGCAGCACTGCTGCAAACGCCCCGGCCCTTGCTCAGAGCCTGCTCGCTCCCTTTGCTCTGCCGCTGTCTGGCAAACGAGCAGAGAGCCTTGCGAATGCCAGGGGAGCCCGTCGCGGGGAGCCCGGTTCTCCGGCTCTTCTCCGCACTCCTCCCCGCAGAGCATCGTGTCCAGGCCGGGGCAGAGCTGCAGCCCAGGGGCCGGGGCAGCTCTCTCCCAGCAGCACACTGGTTTTTCCATGCTGCTGAGCTGCATAAGGGCGAAGCTGGGTCTATTTAAAGCCTTTTTCTTTTACACTCACAACAGGATGTATCACCCCATCAGAGCAACATCTCTGTGCTCAGTCCCAATGCAGATGGATGTACTTATTTGTTTTTTCCAGAATGAAGAAGCTCTGAAGAAGTGTGCTCAGGATTATTTAACCCGGGTCAAGCAAGAGGAGCAGCGGTATCAGGCCCTGAAAGTCCATGCAGAAGAAAAATTAGACAAGTAAGGTCATGCACAAGATTGCTGGGTGTGCGGAGGAGCTCTGTGGGTGCTTACAGACCTTGTAGGGCAGTGTCTCCGTTTGGCTTTCCTGGGGTTGGAAGGCTGATGTGAAAAGCTGCCTTTTACAACCTCAGGCTCGAGTGACTTAAGGCTAGCCAGCACCAATCCCTGGATGGATTCTCTGGTCTCTGCTTAGTTTTTTTTAATGGAGAAACTGAGGTACCCGGTCTATTTACAGTCACTTGGCGAGTTCCCTGGTTTCGGAGGGCTCATGTTCGTGGTGTGCGAAGGGGTTGTGCAGCTGCCAAGGCTCAGCTGATGAGCAGCAGCTCGCCCACCCACGGTAGCCCCGAGCGAGGTGGGTGAGGAGCTGGCTGAGCTTCTCTCTGAGAAAGCAGAGTTTCCATACAGGAGTTTGGAGGAGCTGGGTGAATCCAGTTTCATGCAGGTTTTCCATATGGGAAACCAGCTCTGGCGCATGCAGGCAAGCGGGAGCCAGGCTCTGCTGCGTGGTCCGGCAGCGCGGCGCTCCTGCCTGCGCC